GATGTGGTGGAAATGCTCTGAGCCTCCATTTCTCTTCTGTGACATAAGCTTGAGAACACCTCCGCTCAGAGTGCTTCAGAGAGTGAAATAAGACAGCATATGGAGAGCACTCTGTGCCCAGGAGACCCTGGAGGCCTCACTTCCCATTCTTGGAATCTCTGTAGTAATTATGGCCACATTACAACAGAAAGCGCTTAATCAAAGTCTTAACAGAGTGTTCCTAAAGAGACCAGGCCCACAGATACGGGCCCTTTCCCATCTCTGGGCCCCTTGAACAATAGGCAGTTCTTTCTGTCACTGTTCTTATATGTAGCTTGGTAGCTGGCAGTGCTAGGAAGAGCTTCATATGTTATTGATCATAATGATGCTCAAACCCCATACAGGCTGTAATTTCCTCAAAACCTGTGGCCGAGCAGGAGGGGTGGAAGCTGCTCATAGCCCTCACAAGTCTACCCCAGATAGATGTTGTAAGGAAATGTTCCTTCTCATCTTCTTAAAAGCAAAGTTAAAATCAGTCCAGTTATGTTATGGAGGACCTTTCTTTCCTAAATAACTCGGCAGAGTGCCGAAGGGGAACATCATGGGACATCTGGAGCTAGAAGTCTGCGAAGCATCCCTGTCCTTCCTTATTGACAAAAGTGATGGAAGACAGTAAACCAGTCCCCTATGCACCAGAGAAACTCACCCACATCTAGGACTAGCCTGGTTGAGTAGTACATACCCAACTAGGAGACTCGATTCTGAAGAAGAAATACCTCATATTTCAGCACATAAATACACATACCTCAAGGCTCTTTACTGGGGCATTTCATGACAATATGCAAATGGTACAAAAAAGAATTCTCCCTCTCCCTGATACTCACCTATCCCTTCAACCCTACCTGCATCCTCCTGGCCCAGCCCAAATATCTCATAGGATGATCTATGTGTCTGTTCCAATGACAGATTCTGGGGTCCCTTGGAATATTCCAAGTGGTGCACTCTCCCCAGGGAGCAGCAGCAGATCTACAGGTGTGGGAAGAAAATATTTAAATTTATATACATGAGAATGTTTATTTCACCATTTTTTAAAATCAAATTTGTATATGCCTTATACTATTTGTGATATAATAATACACAACAGGTAAACAAATATATTTACATGTGTTAGGGTGTGTGACCTTCTTATAACCTATGGGGATTTGGCGAAAAAATGTTTGAGACAACCACCATACCAAAGACCTCCAGACGCAAATTCTCATCGCTCACTTATGCCCAAACTCAGTGATTCTCAGATTTGAACTTTGAAAAGAGGCAAATAGTGCCTCTGCTTTGCAAAGTGCAAGGCTAGTCTTAAATCACCAACTTGATATAATCAAAGCTGACTTTCACCCCACTCTGTGTGCATTTGGGTTTCTCCCCATCTCTGCTTTCCCTGCACAAATAATGCCAGTTTGGATGAGGCATGGATATTGGCTTTGATACCGAGGAGGAGCACATTTCACTCTTCATCGATTACCTGCTACCCACTCTATGAGCTGCAGTTATCACACGGGCTAATGTCAGGTAGTGTCTCTGGAACACAGGTCAAATCACCCTAAGTCTTTATCTCAAACCTCAGGGAAATCCAAAGCCTTCCTGATATTTCTGTACATTCCTGAAGGACTTCTGTTCCCAAAGGTGACTTTGTCCCCAGGCTCCAGCTCCGATTCTTCATGTGTGTTTCCAAATTTCATCCCAATACTGTGACACATCCCCTTTGTCCGTGTCCATTTTTTAAAAACCCACTGCATGAAGCACTTCACAATGCCTTAGACTTCAGTGAATATTCGGACACCAAACTGGGGGGTGTCATACTGTGCCCCAGAACTAAGAAGGTGAAAGTATTTTTTTACTGTTCCTCTCCTAGTATCACTGATTCTCATGGTCCTGTCCCCCCATGTGGCAGCCAGCTTTCTGCCATCTTAGTTCATTTTTTCTTCTTTTGTATGCTGTCCCAGAAATCCACATTCTCTCCATTCTGTTGAATAAGGAAATTCAGTGGTTTCCAGCTCTGAACCTGCATACACCATCCAATTCAGTAGAGCAGAACCAGTAGAATTTCCCAATGATCCAACGGATTTAATAGAAGGTAGAAGGTGGGATAAATGACCATTTTTCTAATAACATGAGTATATAGCATAGATAATCACATGATTTGACTCGAAAGCTCTTCTTGCCCCGAAATATACCTACCCCATCCTACACCACCCCCAGGCAGAGTTAGCTAATATGCAAATTCAGCAAGTGTTTAAGTGCCAGTGATGGAAGAGTACCAACATTTGAGAAAATAATTTGATATTTGACAGTGTTTATTTTAATTTCTTTATTGTTATGTTAATCACCATATATTACATCATTTGTACCCATGGATGCTTTCCTGGACCTGGAGGTTGGAATTGCACACCTTTGTGCTATTACACAAGGGGATCTTTGGATTGCCAAATACCCACTCCCACACTCCCAGGGCCAAAGGAAGCCTGATGGAACCCATGGTCACAGAATGCCCACAAGCAGGTGGACAAGGATGAAGTACAGTGGCCCATCTCTGCTCAAGTGTGTCCTGTCCACGTTCCCTTCTACTCCTCATGTACAGAGGACTTCCTCACCTGCTCCTTCCTCTTTACCACTGAAGCCAGCTTGTCCTTCTATACCCTCCTTCATTTTGCCATCCACCCTTGACACAGCTTAGGGTGATTTGTTCTGCAAATGTACAAAACTGATGACTGTCCCTGACCCCCTCCGACACCTTCTGCAGCAATCAAATGAGAATCCACAAGGGATGCATAGCAGTGTTTCCATGTGAGATTGAAGCCACTGACTCTTAGATGGTTTTCCTCTAAATGGAAGATCTATGGGAGATTTTGTTTTATTCTATTTTTGTCTGCACTTTCTACAAGGAAAATTTTCTATGAGAACATCACTTTTCTTGATCAAAAAGAAAATGAAACCATAAGTCATACTGAAAGCAAGACTCCATTGAGAGGTCACACAGCAGGCTTTTGAAGGTCAGGGGCCAGAGGCCTGCTGACATGTCCATGAGCCTGTGTAAGACTTTTAAAACTTGAATTAATTGTTGCATTTAGCAATCAAGATAGTTTGCCCATGAAGCTGACATGCTTGTTTCTCTTGAAAACTCCTGTGAGGTCTGTCACCACAGCCCAGGTACCCTGCATCCACTATCACCTGGCATGGGGGCATTTCAGTTACTTAACAAGGCTGTGGGGGTGGGGGTCCATTTGATCATCTACTTCCTCAGGGCAGAGGATCACCCCTTCACAAGACACCCCAGGTGGGAAGCGAAGGGAGAAGCTCACAGTGGACCTGCCAGGTGCAAGTGTTTTCCAGTGGGCAGGAGGTGGTATGCAGGGAGTTGCTGGCCCGGCTAGCGAGAGGTGAATGGACAGTAAGAGAGCTTTACCACATCTCTTAGAAGAGAAAGGAACAATCTTAAAAGAAGATAGTAGGAAGGGGGGAAATCGGAGGGGGAGACAAACCAAGAGAGACTGTGGACTCTGAGAAACAAACGGGGGGTTCTAGAGGGGAGGGGGTTGGGGGGTTGGGTGAGGCTGGTGATGGGTATTAAGGAGGGCACATATTGAATGGAGCACTGGGTGTTATACGCAAACAATGAATCATTGAACACTACATCAAAAATTAATTAATTAATTAATTTTATAAAAGAGAGAAAGGAACAGGGGAGGGGGGCGACGACCAGTTTAAATAAGAATCCAACGTCTCAGTAATTATAAAAATCAAACCAGGCCTCCAGGCCCTTTTCGGGTCTGTGAATCTCCAGTCCAAATCCAGGACCTTTCCTCAGGATTAAATGAAACTTCAGCCAGCTAAATAAACACAGGCACACAAAATCACTGGGAGTTGCTCACCTGGCATCAATCAACACTGCCCAGTGTGTGTCTCGTCTTGACAGTTTACTGGAGGGAGGGAGCCCTGAGCACTCCAGAACAAAGGCGAGGAGAGAAAGAAAGGAAAACTGCAAGAGAAAAGGAAATCTTTATGTTGCAAGCTCAGGAAGGAAATTAAAGGAAGGGATGCAATTATCAATAGGAAGATAAAACCAAAATCAGGCAGGAGGAGGCCTTTTTTTGTGGTGGCCTTTACAATGGGTGGAAAGTAGGAGCCCTCACTGAATGATCTGGGACTGGATGTTCTGGAGGAAAGGACAAAGGAGGCAAAGGCCCTGGGGTGGATTACCACTTGGCACATTCAAAAGGCAGGTAGGGGGCCAGGGGGCTGACCTGCCTATGGAATTCTACCCATGAAAATCTAGTTAGCAGGAGCATCCAGTGGTCAGGAATGACAACCCTTCATCTGAAGCCAGGGTAGGTACTGTTTTGCTCTAGAAGAAGAGACAGCTGATTTTAAAGCTAAGTTCCTGTTGCTCCTAAAATCCTGTCACTTTTTCCAGGGATCTGACATAGATCTATAAACCCCAAGGCAGAGACAAATACACTGATGGGAGGTGCTGAAGAAATCCTGGGCTAAGTTCTTTCCTGAAATCGGTTACAGAGATTTCCCCAGGGACTTGGGAGAGCTGCAGCAGGAAACCTGCTTTCAGGAAGCCTGCCGGCTGGCACTCAGCTCTCCAAGCAGGGATCCATCCAGCATGGCTGTTGCTAGCTCAGCTAGCCATCTGAGTTCCTTAAACCCACCGTCTCTGGGCTGCTTTCTCTGCAAGGAATGGTCTGTGGCCTGTGTCCTCTGAGTCCTTTCTGGAGATGCCCATCTGTCCTGGGCCAGCCAGTGGTCATTCCTGCGTGTGCTTGTGTAACATCTTCCAACACCATCAACCTGCAAGGCTCAGGTGCTCAGAGCTCAGGCTCACCCACAGGGCAGGTCTGAGTCCCCAGAAATTAGTGCCTCAGAAATCGTCTCAAGGATGGCTGATGGCTGCGGACAGATAGGCACCCACCTCCATCTCCCCAGGTGGGATGACTCTGAAGCATGTTCCCCACACTCTCCTAGAGGCCTTCAGCAGGATGGTGCCATCCAAACCTGATGAAGACAAACACTGTTGGCTGCTTTCCCTTCCTTTCACTCTCTCATTTCCCCACCCTCACCACCCGCATGGTCCTTCCCAGGATCACCTCCCAAATAAAACATTGTGTCCTCATTTCATCGTTTCAGAGTCTGCTTTTGGGGAAACCAAACCCCAGGCACCTCTGAAAGTGCTAGCCAACATTCATTCTTTAGAACTCAACTTAGAAGTTAACCTCTTCCCGAATCTTTCCTTGACCTCCTCACCCCCACCCCTTCCCCATAGCACAGGAGTTTGGGTCAGGAGTCTTTTTCCAGCCTCTCTTAACACATAGAAGATGCTCAGGGTTGCTCATTAACAAATTAAAATGATGCATCTCTAGATAACAGGCAAATGCAAGGAGGGAGACCTGAGACTCCCTACGTTCCCCCAGAGCCCCTTGTAGAAGCATCTTTTCAGCTCCTATCTGCCCTGGGCTTACCTTCTGATCAGGACAGTCCCTCCTTTGGTGGACATATTGATTAGTGTCCTCTGGGGACAGTTCTATTGACCGTTTGGCTCTTCTCAGAAAAGTACAGCAAAAAACAACCTTTCAGATTTAGGCCAGACTCCATTGCTCAATATTACCTGTTTTTCCTGTAAATACCTGTTGGGGAGGGGATGTTAATTACCAACAGGGATCATTTCCCAAACAACAGTGGACAGGTGGACCCCACTATACAATGGACTGAACTCTAACCTTTAAGAGTCAAGACTTGCGTTTTGCCATTTCGTCCTGTCCACCAGGGAGTTTTTCCTTTCCCTCAGGGACTTCCACTGGCCTCCTCGAGCTTAAAGTATCCAAGCAAAGCAGCACTAAGTCACATCTCTATAGTTCAAAGAACAAAAGTCCTTAAAATAGGTCTTCATTTGTCTGAACTTGAAGTTATTTCACCTGCAAATAAGTCAGATTAATTTCTTGGCCTGAACCCAAAGTAAATGGGCTTGTGTTCATTGCATTTTAAGGTAAATGTGTCTCTTGCAAATCTGTACTGGTTCAGTGGTAGCAAAGAGCTGATAAGCCCTTCAGGGGTTCATTAGTCATTTTTAGGACTCTCTACCAGGAGGTCCACCTACTGAGCAGTGCAAGCATGTTCCCCAGGAACTAAAACCATATAAACAGACACGAATTCCCTGAAAACAAACCAGAACAAGAAAAAATACTCTGCAATGAAAAATCAAAGTATAGCTTCTGGGGTCCTTGAAAAAAGAAAGATGTCCTGATAAGCCACATTGATCAAGACCATAGGAAAAAGCACTGTAAAAGCTCTCCTAAACGTCGAAGGGGGTTCAGGCACTGTAGGTGGGAAAAGAACAGGAAAACTCATTTGCCAAGCCTCTACATGAGGCTTCTCACACAGATGAAAACATGAGATTAAGCCAATGGGAGCCTGAGTGTGCTGAGGTTTGCTTGTTTTCTAGGACATGTGGATGTGTGAAATGAGACACCAATGTTCTGAGGAAGGATGGATGGGCCACTCACCAATTTCTTTTCTTTTCAGCTTCATGATGCTGCTTCAGACAAATCTCAATAGTGTGGCCGGTAATTGAGCTCGCAGCCCTGGTGAGCACACAGGTCTACACACAGTCACAAAGGTTGGGAAACAATGGTCCAAAGACAAGAGGGAGAGGGAATGGAAAGGAAGGGAATGGAAAGACAGTGCCAGTCCCCATTGTGTGAAGCGGCGTCCAGGCAAACCTGGAGACTGTTGTAAATGAGAGTCCGGGGCAGGTGCTCAGAGGACAGCTGTCTCACACACAAAGAAAGCTCATATTCAAACCACTTTGTTTACTGTACAATTACATGTACCTTTAATGTCTTCTGACCATTATTCACATGCTCCATTTTTACCCAATGAACATTTTATTTGACGTAACAAGGAGTTGATTTTTCATTCTGTCCTGACCGAGCATCAGTAACCTCTTTCAGAATTAGGGAAGCCAGTGCAGTCTCTGGTTGACTATGAAAGACTTTGCCCTGACATTTTATAAACTGGTGTATAAATGAGGTGAGAAGGCTGGCAAGGTTTGGGTTCTTTCCCATCTGATTCCACATCACATTTTAGTCAATAAAGCACTTAACAGAATTCACTTTTGGTGAGGCAGAGGGAGAGAGAGACTGAGCCAAGTGGCAGTAGACAGGGTCTTCATGTTACATGGTACCAATCCAACTAACTGACACCCCTTAAAATTAATCACAGTGGAATAAGCCCCCCTCCTTTATTTAATCAGGACATTTTATAAGTCAAAATAGGACAAGTGTTAAGGAAGTTACATTGCAACTAACTTCTCAGAAACTACCTTTTATTGGGCTTTGCTGTGGCATCAAGAAAGCACAAATATCCACAGTTATCTGAAAAGGCTATTAAAATACCTCTTCCTGGGGCGCCTGGGTGGCTCAGTCGTTAAGTGTCTGCCTTCAGCTCAGGTCATGATCCCAGGGTCCTGGGATCGAGCCCTGTATCGGACTCCCTGCTCAGCCAGGAGCCTGCTTCTCCCTCTCCCACTCCCTCTGCTTGTGTTCCCTCTCTCACTGTCTCTCTCTCTGTCAAATAAATAAATAAAATCTTTAAAAAAATAAAATAAAATAAAATACCTCTTCCTTTCCCAACAACCATTTGTATAAAGATAGCTCTTTTTTATATACTTCAACCCAAGTAACATAACACAACAGATCAAATGCAGAAGCAGATATGAGAATCCAGTTGTCTTTATCAACCCAGACATTAAGGAGATCCACAAAAATCTAAAAAAAATACCACTTTTCTCTCTGATTTTGTTTCTGAATATATAGTCATTTTATTAAAAATATATTAGCCATGTTAACATTCAATGGCTTTACTATTGTTCTTTCAAGATGAACTAATGAATATTTTTATTTTTCTCTTTCAATTCTAATATGGTGAATATTGACATCAGTAGATGTAGCCCACATAAATTAAGACTCTTTGGGGTCTTCAGTAATTTTTAAGAATATGATGAGTCTCTAGGACCAAAAAGTTTGCAAAGATCTATCTAAGTTCTTATCAACTTAGTTTTATAGTGAAAGGTGGAACCTTTGGTCTACCTAGATCTATTCATCAGTTTCAATCACAAGAAAGTCAAGATGTTGAAGGACTCTTTCAGGAACTCTGGAAGGGTTTCCATGCCAGTGTGTCAGTCAAGCTCCGAGCTTAATCCCTTGACCAAAAGCTCTTCCATTGACTCCACCAAGTCTGCATCGCAGGGCAACAACTTACTCTTACTAACTCTTCTCCTAAGAGCCCCTTGCTCTTTCAAGGAAGGGACTTCTAAGATTAAGTGATTGCATCGGGGAGGGGCAGACACATGTCAAGTACCAAGGACATGCTTCTTTTGGGGTCCATCTCCTCACACAGCATTTCTCGATCACCACATACAGCTTGGAGCTACCAAAGACAGTAGACACAAAGCAAGTGAAAGTCCCCAGTCCTGCTCTGCAGGAAATAATGAAGAAACAAAACCATGCCAGGAGATACGTCTTAGACACTTCTGCATCTGTTCAGATTCCTTGAGGTGAATAAGTTGGAGATGAAAGATGTGCCGGCGAGATGCCGCATGTACCGCACTGTTGGGCCCTGCAAGTAGGAGCACCCCTCCTGCTTACTCCTATATATCATTTTCTTGAAATAACGTGGATAAGGCTCAAAGGCTCTTGAGAGGTCCCCAACTGTGGAAGAGAACCTCAAACTTAGAAATTCCAGAGCAGTTAATAATCACAATCCAAAAATGCAGTGCTGTCGATGGTGGCCTTTGGTGTTGGTCAACTGTCAAACTTCTCAAACTTGAAAATGCCAAGAAGCTGCTTCCCTTAGGCAGTCTTACTTCAGAACACTCACCAGGAAAATAGCTAACACAGACTATGCAGAGTACAAGAGGACACCCACCTTCTCTTATAATTCCTGAAGAATACCATGTTGTCTCTTTGGCATCAGATGATAAGAAAATATGTTTAGAGCATTTTGTTACTTTTATTTTCAACCAAAGCCTGTGTACCACTATCTATGTGATGTTTTATTATTGCAGGTTTATAAAGCATTTAAATTATATGTAAAATGATGCACATGATTTGTTGATTAAAAAAATAGCAGGTTTTTTTTAAAGCTATTTCCATTCTTCATGAGAAGCAGGAGCCTATGTGTCTAGTTTCATATCCTGGAGTTAACATAATGTCTCGCTCATCATAATTTAGTTTTTTGTAATTTATTCATGCATTTATTTATTTGTTCAACAAAATTCCAAGTATATTCTAAGTAGTGGGGTTGAAGAATTTCAAACAACTATTTCAAAATGCAAATCATGGGAAATATGACCCAAAAAAGTCACAATCACCTAATAAATATGAAATAATGCAAAAAATAAACAAATTTTAAAAATAAAATAATGCTATGTGAGATAACTAGCTGTTTGGGGCCTTTTTTAGTGCCTCCACCCCTCATGGATTTTTTTCAAAAGACATTCAGTAATTTGCCCAAAGTCACACTTAATTTTTTCAAGAATCAAGAAAACATTGGGAGATTTCTCCTTCACTGCTGGTCCCCAAATAGATATTTAAAAAATATTAGCTTCTTTCCCTTTTCTCTGAATTCCGATCCCAGTTATTTTCTACCAAATTTCCTTTTTTGTTTGTCCTTGGTCATCACCTTGAATTGAATGTGATGAAATAGACCCAATGACTTGGTCACAGAGGAAAAAGATCATGAACACTTCTGGCTCCGAGTGAGCACAGTTGATGGATGAATCTTAGCTCTTGGGGATTGTGCTTCAAGGGATACACCTGCCTAAGGTGGTTAAGGAGAGATCTATTTCTATAGAGAGAACAACCATAAATCAGAAAGAGATAAAAGCATTTAAAAACAACAAAGCAGGCAACATTTTTTTAGTAATTGAGCCTAGTTTCAGAAAACAAGAAATGTCTGTGTCAGTCCTTGTCTTTCAAACATTATTCTCTGTTTGGTTAAGCTATACAAACACCAGGACTCTGATGTAAGGAAGACTTTTCTTTTTGTATGTTGTACATAAATGTCTTTAATCTTTTGAGTTAGGAATTTATTGGTTGAGTCTTCATGGGTAAATTCAGCAAAGCTCTGAAATGGTTTTTCCTCCGAAAAGAAACAGCAGGGAGGAGGCAGAGAAGGGTCAGTGAGGCTCAAACGAGAAAACCAATCCCCAACCCCCACCCCGCAAAGAAAAGTGTTTTCCTGGCACAAGAGAATAGGTGAAAGTCCGGCTGACCTTTAGCCAGCTTGACTCTGGGGTGTAGGTCAGGTGGGGGCAAAGGGGCTGCCACTGAGCTTAGCTGTTGCAAATGAAAGTGCTTGGGATTTCAACAGCAGCTACAAACAAAACAAACCCACACCACAGTTTGACACTCACAGTTGTGCTCTGGCAGCTTGCTCTGGTTCTTCTTTCTTTTTGCCCTTTCTACATGCCTTGGTCAAGGCCACATCACAGCCTGGCAGCTCCCCCAAGGGCAGCTCATGAGCTGGGATTCAGCCAACTCTCCTCTCCTTCGTGGGCTGTTGAGAGCAAGTGAGAAGTGCTTCGTGAGTTGGATGGGAGACAAGGAGAGTGAATCAGAAGAAGCAAAGCCTGCTGCTTCTGGTTTCACTTCTGTTCCCTCTCCTACTATCCTTGCTCCCAGCCTCTGTCCCCACCTCTGCATTTCCAGCTCCATGAAAAGATTTTGCACAGAATAATGTCTGCAGAAGGCAGCTGGATCTGTGACAGTTTTGCTCGATTGTTTTAACAAGAAGGGTGATATTTTAATGCTTGAAATATATGAAAGAGGTCTTAATCTCAACCCCCAGGAGTCTTGGAATTTGCATTTTTGTCCTGGGAATTTACAAAGAGTAATGCTACAAGATGTAGACCAAAGGACTCTTAGAAATTGGGTATATTCATTTGCTAGGGCTGCTGTGACAAGTGACACAAACTGGGTGGTTTAAACAATATAAATTTAATGTCTCACAATTTGGAGGCTAGAAGTCTAAATCAAGGTGTGGGCAGGGTTGGTTCCCTGTGAGGGCCATGGGGCAAGGATTTGCTCCATGTCTCCCTCCTAGCTTCTGGTGGTTTGCTGGCAACCTTTGGCCTTTCTTGTAGAGACATCACTGCAATCCCTGCCTTCATGTTCACATGTGTTGTCACAGACTGAATAACTGAATAAGTGGAGGAATGAATGAACGAGTGAGTGCATTCACAGGCTCATTCAGAACACTGGAGTCTAATTTACCTCGACTGAACAACTTGAACCCTGGAGTTAGAAAACTTGGGTTCGAACTCTCCACTGAGGCCAACTGAGGCTCAGTCCCCTCAGGACCCTCCAGAGTGCTACACAGGGACAGGAGAGGGGTGTTCACCCCCTGGTGCTCCCCTCCATTGGCCAAGAGCTGTTCCACACCTGTGTTAACTGTCACCTCTCCCTCTTCTAGGCTCTGCATTCATGAGTGACTGGACACTTCTCCAAAGCTGAGCTAGAGACAAGGACTCGGTGCCTATAGTTATTGGAGAGGTGATCCCAGGAAGCTGGAATGCGGGGGTGAGTGAGACAGAAAAGGAGGAAAAGCAGGACAGAGTGCCTCACTGAGTAGTTACTGCACTCCCACAGCCCTGGTTCAAAATTGAACACCTCTGGGGGATGGCTGTGACCGCCTCCCCCATTCCTCCACACTCCCTTCCTGCCCCTGCAGCCCCTCTCCTTACCTGCACCTGAGCAGCCACCTCTGCTCAGATTCTCGGACAGCCCAGTGCCATACTTCCCCCAGGATGACCCCCAACTCTGGCCTATCAGCTGGAGCCCTTCACCAGTGGGGCCAGCTCTTCTCACTGACTCCCTAGCTCCCCTGGCATCCCACGGGTGCCTTCCAGGTTTGAGGCCTCCAGCAAAAAGGTCCTGCACAGCCTTTCCCCACCACCTCTGTCACTGATAAATCCTACCTATTTGGCAGCCTCCTCCTCTCCCATGAAGCCTTCTAAGACTGCCTCCCACCCCCAAAAAATACAAAAACACACACACCACACACATACTGCATATACACACACCACATACACCCTCCACATACACACCTCCCATCCCCCCATACACAATATAATATACACCAAACACACACACATCACACACACCACCACAACCTATGCATGCATATACCATAGTACGCACGCACATGCATGTGCACACACACACACACACACACACAGACGCCACCAACCCCCACCCCATGTGTTCTTGTACCGTTTTAGTTACAGCTCCATTACTGGTCACCACACTTGACTTCCTGTTATGGTTATTTATATCCCCTCCCACCTTTTTCTTATTTGGTCCATAGAAGCAGATTCTATGTCTGGTTAATTTTTGTTCCCCAAAACAAGTCAGCATCACAGGCACAGCGGCCTCGGTGAATATTGGGTGAATTAAACCGAATATGATAAAATCGGAGCTAATTTAACAAGTGGAGGATATAGAACAAGTAAATGCACAGCGGTGGGGACTCCACAGGCCCTGGAGGGAAGGTGAGCTGGGCATTTTCTTAAGCCCACAATGGCAAGGACTCGTCACCTTTACGACTGTATACTCACCATGAGGCACATCCTGACCTCGGAACCATGACGGCAGGAAACGAAACTCTGCACCTCTGCAGTGGGGTCCGGTGACTCAAAGGTCCCCTCTGTTGGCAGCAATGAAGGACCCAGAGGGGATGTTCAATCAAACAGAAGAGAGGCTGGGGCTACTGAGGGCTGGTCAAGCCAGGCCGGGACTTGGATTTCTATCAGAAGATCGTGGGGAGCTGCTTCAGGGCTTGGAGCTGAGGTGCAATGTGACTGAGGCTGCACTTTAATAACCAGCCATTAGGTATATTTATGTGGAAAAAATCTTCACATTTTGCAAATAAGCCAGGTATGCGTTGTCTGCCTCATCGAGAATTCTACACACAGCTTGATGCGCTCACAAATTCACAATTCAGAATTAATTGGTTTTTAGGCCATGCATTTAGGTCAGATCACCCAGACACTCCATTTCATGTGGTGAAAAGAAATTAAGTCAATTTTCCCCCTGCCAGACCCTCAGCTCTCATCTTGCAGGCCTGGCGAGCCGTCCCTCTGCACGCACGGGAGGAGACAACCTTTAAAGGCATTCTCATTATTTCTCAGGGAGATGTCATTAAGTACTGTAAACATGTCCTGAATGAGTCCATGTCACAAAGACTGCAAAGTGTTTATAGAATAAAAACCTATAAGCACCAAAATGAGATAAAATAGGGAGGGGAGAGAGTAAGCGGGAAAGAGAGGTTTTTTTTTGTGTGTGTGTGTTTTTTTTTTTTTAAAGGAAAAGGAAATGTCTTCTTGACCAACACATTAAGCTAAAGGTACAGACTATAAGGTGTATTTGCCCTGGGGAGCTTTGACCAGCTGAAAGCAAGGTTGGAATCTAAGGGGTCCAAGGGCCCACCCTTCCTTTTCTCAAGCTCCTGGCAGACATCACTAATTGATCACACCCATTTTCTCTGAACTCATACCTGGCAGACATTGCTAAATGATCACACCCATCTTGCCCTCCAAATTCACACCTGGCCTCAGAATCCTTGGCAAGAAAACCATCCAGTCAAGCAGTCTGAGTTGACTTTAAACTTCCTGATGCTTCTGTTTGCAAGAAGTTCAGGGTGTCCCTATTCCAAGTCTATGACACTCCATTAGAACAAGGAGAATGATTGGCCATGATGTTATGAGGGCACCGTCTCTTTGAACATCATAAAATAACACATAAGTGTTATTTTAGTCTGCATTGTTGTTTACAATCAAGTTAAGGAGACAAGAGCCTCACAGTCTGCATTGATTTTAATCCCCCAGAGCTGATACTGTGTGTGCACAGGCCCCAGGTGATGTCTAGACTAGATGGTGCATGGAATTAAGGAGGATCGGTGTGTTCATTTCCAAGGAGGAATGGCAGCATCAAGACTCTCTTTGGGGTTCCACCTTCAGCTACCAGAAACCTTTTGCCCCCTCCCCTCATGCACACAGTAGAAGTGCCTCGGAGTTTATGCCTCCTAACCGGGGGCAGACCAGTAACTGACAGTGTTAAAGTAGCCACCTTGCCTTGGGGCAGGAAAATTCTGAGGCACACATTATGCACCAGATTCCCCATGGGCTCAGGCTAAAGCTACCTTCTGCACAATTTTGAGATCACACACTTGCTTGGCTTCCTCCTTTCTGCCCTACTTCTTCCACCTGCTCACCATCCCCAGGAATACTTGTTTAATACATTATCACTTGCACATGAACTGTCCTCTTGGACACAGCAAACCCTCCCCATGTTTTGTCACTCTAAGGTAGGCCAGACCTACTCCTGGGACCCCGCTTGACATCTTCCCACAGGGTGTGCCTGCCAGGGCTCCATACTAGAGAACAGGACGCAAGTTTCCTTTGGTGATGAGAACACCCATCATCTGTCCCACATGCCAGGAGCTATGCAGGGACTGCATGCCAGGCAGACCCGGAAAAAAATGTCACCACATGGGGTGACACAAAACCATTAAAGATCACCCAAAATCTTCCCAGAAGAAAGCATGAGAAGAAACTACAGGGGAACACCAATCTCTGATAGGGATTTTTTTGGGAAAAATTTTCAGGTGTATAAAAATATTTACTGAAGAAACTAAGAAATTACAAGGAAAAACAACAAAATAAAAATCATACCAACACCCAGGAATGACTGCATTAACATTTTGGTATACATTTTTAGAATTTTATGTACACATATGCAAATTTAACTTTAAAATTAGAGTAGACTTTTTTATAATCTGCTTTCATTTAATCATAAACACTAACCACAGAGTTAGCATTTGTGAGGCTATTAAGTAATTTACAAAGTAGTTTTACTCATTTCATTTATTGTATTTCACAGGTACAATCACTTGTTCTGTTTTTAAATAAACAGGGAGAACTTTTGCAGTAAGGGGGTTGTTAGTTTCTGTAAAACAATGAATTTAGGGGACTACTCTCTATTCAAATAGGGTCAATATTACTCAAAACAATCTTGAGGAGGGGCGCCTGGGTGGCTCAGTCTGTTAAGCATCTGATTTTTGGTTTCAGGCTCAGGTCATGATGTCAGAGTCATGAGATAGAGCCCCATGTCAAGCTCCACATTCAGCGGGGAGTCTGCTTGAGATTCTCTCTCCCTTTCCCTCCACCCTCTCCCCACCCCAGCCCCCGCTTGTGCACTTTCTCTCTCTCAAATAAATAAATAAGTCTTTAAAAAAAAAATCATTGTTTGTAAAATTTACCCTAGATCCTATGATACTTCTTTTCACCAAAATGACAGGACTCTTCATATGTTTAAATGTTCAAAATCAATCAGAGCCAATTGTTTGGTAAAGCAGAGAAGAAATGGTTAAAAGTTTCTATAGTTAAAATTGAAATGTGGCAAGAAGACTACTGATTTGGATGCTCTGAAGCCTGTGCAGGGAAGACATCCATGTCTCACATAGGGCCAGTGAACATTCCACACACGGAAACATTAAAAGGATATCATCTACTCGGATTTCTTTTTTTTAATTTTTTTATTGTTATGTTAATCACCATACATTATATCATTAGTTTTGGATGTAGTGTTCCATGATTCATTGTTTGTGCATAACACCCAGTGCTCCACGCAGAATGTGCCCTCTTTAATACCCATCACCAGGCTAACCCATCCCCCCACTCCCCTCCCCTCTAGAACACTCAGTTTGTTTTTCAGAGTCCATCGTCTCTCATGGTTGGTCTCTACTTGGATTTCTATTTCTATTTTGTTGCATTCATTTTTTTAAGTAGTGGTTTCATTAACTCCAGAATATATTCACAGGATATGATTTCGGTTTTTGTTTCCTTTCTACTCTGGGTCTCTGCTCCAACTCTGGCCTGTGCCTGGAATATCCCATCCCCAGTCAAGACTTCTCAGACCCCTCCAGTTGGAATCTACCCACTCTGGACAGAATGCAGAGCCCCTGCTGCACTGGTCCCTATCAGAGCGCCAGACCATGAGAAAACCCTACCCATTCCATCTTTGTTAGCCCCACTGTGCCCAGCACAGGGTTCTTCTCAGAGTTGAAACTTGAAATTCTGAACCGGAAAGTCCTGCCCCTGTATCACACAGGAGAGAAACTGAAGCTTATATAGCCGGTCCCTTTCCCCCTACCAGTGATCTGCTGCTGGAACATGGCACCTCAAGACGTGGCACATGGCATTCACTCCAGACTCTTGCTTTTCAAAACTGCAGTACCTATGCATTCACCATGTGTTCCAAGGCCAGCAGTGTTTGGTCTTCCTTGGAGTTTACTGCGTGTTGTTTTCCATCTGGAATATAGCCCTCGACATCAGAACTGAAATCTTTTCCCTGCAACATTGGTTTCACGGGACTAACATCGAGATATGGGCAGAGTTGCTGTCCCTCTGGAGGCTGGGGGCCACTGCCTGAGGAGAATCTGTTTCTTTACCCCTTTCAGCTTTGAGAGACAGCCCCTTTGCCCATCTTCGAAGCCAGCAAGGCGGGAGTGGGGTTTTGAGTCCTTCCATTGTTCCTGTCCTCTATAGTCACATCCTCTGAACTCCCCATTTCTGCCTTCCTCTTCCACTTTTAAGGACTCTTGTGATTATATTGAGCCCCCACAAACCCTAGAGAAAACAGACCAAAAGACACATCATGAAATGTGATGGGTACTCATACATCAATACTTGACTGATACTTCATTCATTAAGTATCTATTGAGCATTTACTCCATACCCATCAGTGTGCTTAGATGGTAAGACACAGTTAGAAACAAAAGAGGTATAGGGTGACAACTATCCTGATTTATCAACAACAGAGGTTTCTGGGGACGCAGGATCTTCAGTACTAAAACTGAGAGTCCCAAGCAAACTGAGTTCATGGCACACTCTAGGTGCAGTCTCTGCCAGGAAGAATTTATAACCCAGTGCAGGACAGGAACAAAATGCCATCCCCAGTGACCGTATGTGCTTTAAAGGGCAAAGGGAAGGGTGAGATATAAATGAACAAAACCGGTAGCAAGCCTTCCTCTGCAAGGACCCCTTTTGGATGACATTGATTGTACCCAAACCCATGCCAGAAGCAGGCTAAGTGCTACATACGTGATCTTTAAAGTTCACAAAAGCCACATGAGGTGAGGATAGTTATTGCCTATAGCTTGCAGAGGAAATAAACCAAGAGAAATAACTGGTCCAAACATCACAAAACTACTGTTTTAGGTCAGGTTCCCCAGAAACAGACCCTGACACAAGGAATCATGAGCAAGCAGTTTATTAAGGAAATGCTCCCAGGAGAAATGAGAAGCTCTCAAGATTTAGGGAAAATTCCAGAGAGGGTGCTTTCTCTTGATCTGGCACAGGAACTCCAAGGTGTAAGTTACCCATCAGTTTCTCCCAAAAGGAAGTGGGGTTCATTCTCCCACACCCTGAGTTGGCTGGCTATGGACCATTCAGGGAGCATGTAAAACTACTAGGCATTTCTGGCTCTCTCTGCCATATGGGCAAAGCAGCTTCTGCTCAGGAACTGGCCACCAAATAAGAGTCACATACTTGGGGCTGTTGAAAACAGAAGCACACCAAGTCTGGGAGAGAGGACAGAGAAACAGAAAAGG